TTACCACAGGACAGGGAGGAACCACTGGGAGTGCCTTGGGCTGCTGTCTCCTGAGCTGGCCCTAACTGCACTCCCCTTTGTTTTCCTGCCTCCCCTGCTATCAGTTCACCTTAAGCTCCTTGGAACAGAGAACTTCATGTGAATTCAAATGTTAGAGTCCACTTGAAGTGGATCATGGCCAATCAGCTATTATTTTACTACTCATAAGTATAAGTATTTGAAGCCAAGATGTAATTTCATCTTTGGCTCAGAGGTTTACAACTCAACTAAATTTTAAAAAAACCCTACCCCCTCCTTTAAGAGAAAACAATGCAGGGGCAAACAGTATTCTTACATACTGAAAAGCCTTTACAGGGTTTTTTTTGTGTAAAATCAAGATACTTTTTCAAATTATTCCTTAAGAGGGAAATTTCCAGAACTCTATTCCCTAGCTGCCTCCTTTGATTTGAGGGCTGGACGCAGGAATAAAATACAGTTAGAAGATAAGACAAGAAAGCATAATGAAATTATTGCCCACATCTTACAGAAACTAATAAATCTTCTAATAGAGGAGAGCAGAAACTCATTTTTTCACACTTGCAGTAAAAGTGATAAAGGTTATATTTTCACCTCTGTGAAACAGAAAGTAACATTGTCATTTTATGTTAACAGTTATGAATAATATTTTCAGGATGTCAATTTACTTTACAGCTAAGTTTTCAAAATCAATACTCAATACTTAACACAAAACTTGCTTTTCTGTCATGTATAAATATTTTAACTCATTATCTCCATTACTATGAGCCAAGACAGTGAAAACAAATGAATCAAGGTATCAAGTATCACATTGGTATTTCCCAAGATAATGCGAAAAAAATTTTTGTCATCAGGCTTAGTCAGTAAGCCAAGCAACCACCTCCCTGGCTTAGGATACACTGCAGACTTCCTCAAGGCTACCTGGAATCAAACAAGAAAACACCACATAAAAAGCTGAAGGAAGTTTACTTCTTAACATCTAATTACAAATCCAATAAAGTCCACTTGCTCACTTACACAATTTGTGCACACTCCTGTTTTGTCTTTTAAAAAAAAGTGCATCTCAATCATTTTTATCTAGGGTGACTACTGTGAGCCATTGCATCTGCAATTCTGCTCAGGCAAAAAAAAAAGAAAGCTTAACATTCTCACCATTTTACTTGAGTTAAATTTGATTTGACTCAAAAGCTACTTCCTTGAACATAACATTTGTTAAGATGGCTAAAAGCAAACACTGTATCATTCACCATGCTTTTATATGTAAAGTGGACCGATTTTAAGGATATTGGCAGTCTTAAAAAAGCAAATTGAATTCCATTCTAACAAGCCACTTTCAGAGAGGTGGCTGCATTCAGAAACCTTGCTTGAAAAGAGGCAAATAAAACTATCTGACATTTTACTAAAGAAATTAAGTAAACAAATTAATTTCTCCCTGCAGTTTCAAGTCTAAAAAAACCTGATAAAACTACTTGGTTAGAAGTTGGCAAAAAACTAACAGTCCTATTCTTGAAACAGAAACAAATACACATCCTTTTTTAAGCTATCAGAGAGGAATACCATTCCTTCTGCCACTGCTGCTTTATATAAATTTCTAAGTCACTACACTGGAATAAAGTCTTCTTTTGAAAGGGCCTCAGAATAGCCGAAGGAAAAGAGCATATTAAAGATCAATGCTAACAATGCAGTTTTCATTGTTCAAAAAGAAAAGGGAAGGAGGGAGTTCTTTATGTCACTTGCCCAAATTCACACACTCTTGGCCAAACCCAGTCTGTACTAAAGCCAAGCCTTCATGCCTGAAAGCTTGTGCCGTTCTGCAGCATTCAAACCCCTCCTGCAGCACTGTGCCATTCAGGAAATATGATGGTGGGTCATACCTGTTTTACCATCATGGTTTGGTTGGTGAGTATTTTATCTTACCTGAGTTTTAGCATGTATATTTGGCGGAAGAGGAATTGGTTGGATGATTGCATCCAGAGAGTAGTGGTCAAGGGCTCAGTGTTTGAATGGAGATCAATGACAAGTGGTGTCCCTCAGGAATACATACTGGGACCAGTATTGTTTAGTATTTTCATCAGCACCACAGAGAGTGGGACTGAGTGCACCCTCAGGAAATTTGCAGATGACACCAAGCTGACTGGTGCCGCTGACATGCCAAAGGAACGGAATGCCATCCAGAGGGACCTGGACAAGCTCAAGAAGTGCCCCATGGGAACCTTATGAGGTTCAACAAAGCACAAGGTGCTGCACCTGGGTCGGAGCGACCCCCAGTATCAATACAGGCTAGGGGATGAATGGACTGAGAGCAGTCCTGCTGAGAAGGACTTGGAGAAACCAGTGGATAAAAAAATCCAGCAATGTGCATTCACAGCCCAGAAAGCCAGGTGGAAACATAAAACGAAGTGTGGCCAGCAGACTGTGAGGAGACTCTGCCCCTCTGCTCAATCAACCTGTTGGAGCAGGTCCAGAGGAAGGGCCATGAAGATGATGGAACACCCTTCCTAAGAGAAAAGGCTGACAGAGCTGGGCTTGCTCCTCCTGGAGAAGGCCTTAGGGTGACCTTATTCCATCCTTTCAGGGCTTAAGAACTCATAAGAAAGATGAGGACAGAATTTTTAGCAGGGCCTGTTTCAACAGGACAAAGGGTAGTGGTTTTAAACTAAAAGAGGGTAGATATAGACTAGATAAAAGGAATAAATTTTTCAATGAGGGTGGTTAAAATATTGGAACAGGTTGTGCAGAGGGGTGGTAGGTACCCATCCCTGGAAACATTCATGGTCAGGCTGAACAGGGCTCTGAGCAACCTGATCTAGTGGAAGACACTTGCTCATTGCAGGGGGGTTGGAACTAGATGACCTCTAAAGGTCCCTTCCAACACAAACTATTCTGTGATTCTAAACATACACTAAGAGCTTCACAGTAGGTAAAGCAAGGTGTCATTTGTCAGCCGCTGACAAGATCTTTCAAGCTACTGCTAGAGCACTAACAAGAAAAGGCCACACAGCAACTGAATGCATAGTCTTGGTATTTTACTACCCTGCTTATGCTTAGCCACCTGCAGACCATGCTTGTTTCCCTGGGACCAAAGCCTCGCATTTCTTTGCCATAAACTGAATGCAGTAAGTTTGCAACTTGACCAAATCAGCTGGAGCCAACACACCCATTCTCCAGGCTGGCTTTACACTCACAGAAGTAAGACTGACCTCTGGGATAAAGAGCCAGTTTTACCCTTTAAGTTCAGTAACAGAATGCCCTGATCAGTACAGAAAACAATCTGTTAAACTGCATGGAAGTTCTAATTAGTAAAAATCAGAGTTACATTGAAGTAGTCTTCTTTTTTTATCATCTGAAAGAAGAAAGTGAACAGGTCATAAGACTCCTCACAACAGTGAATCTCTTGATATTCTAAAACTGCAGAACTTGGCCTCACTGGGTTTTTCATTCTTCAATTTCCACTAACCTGTTTTCAGTGTGTGTTCTGGCTCTGTAGAAGCCTTGGTGAATATATTAAGCCTCTTTCCTACTTTGAGACTTCTGTAAACAAAAAAAGAAAACCGATAGTTAGTATTTCACAACACTTCACAACATTTGCCAGACAGCAAATTTAAAAGCACAAAATATTTTCATGAAGTAACAGATCTCTGGAGGGGGGAAAAAAGAAAAAAAGACAGAAAAAGAGATACTGACTCTCACTAAATGCTCAAGCTTTTAACCAGAGAAAGTGTTTATGACTTTATTACTCATTTGTAACAGAGCTTCCCAAAATATTTCCATGTGAAAAGCAAGAGCATAAATCAAACATTCTATCTGCAGCCACTTTTTACTGGAATATTTAGGAATCTGAACAAAGGTAAACAATATCAAACCACAGTACTCAAGTGCTTTTACAAAGCTGCAGCTATCTGGTGACTTGGGTTTTCTCCCAAGTAAAAAATATTGCACAATTCAGGCACAGAAAAGGCAACGGCTAAATCAAATAGTTCCTGCTTTATGACATGAATAGTCCTTTTGGAGTTTATACAGCCACCTTTTCTGCCATACAGCAAACAGAGCGTTATATATCTATATGAGCTAATTAAAATAGCGTCACCCTGATGCTCTTGCTTCTGAATATAAAAATATTTTGCTCTGACCATCTACTTTCAATCACACTTATCATTAGCATAATCTTATGCTAAAAAAAAATTTAAATACAATGGTTCAACAAGTAATCAAAGTGAATTGTTATAAATGCAAACAAAGAAAACCCCAGTGTCTTTAGTTTAGAACCAATTATGCTTTTAATCATACCTTCTTCCAGGTTTCCACTGAAATGGTGACAGTTCCTACTTTTTGTTATTACATATCCACTGTAATCCTGGCAATATTTGCCTTTTCTGACCTTAAAATTCCCCATCTGGATATACTGGAGATTTCTAATGGCCTCAACTACTTCTGCAAACCTGTTCATGTCATATTATATTTCAGTGATGAAACTACCCTGGATTCATTTCAGCACAGAGCAATCTAATTACAGAGCCTTAAAAGAATGTTGATTTAGGATTATATTTTCCTATCTGTGTGTAACTCCCAATGACATTGGCCAAAGATACAGGCATGACTTGGAAGAATGTTTATTTTAAAATGATGAGTTTCAGTTACTACAAACAACATCGCTTATTTCATTGAAATCTACTAACTCCACTTAAAATTAGATATTCTTCTTAACCCATTCTTTTCAATCGGTAAGTATAGCCATAACATTTTCAGGTATGCAGGAGGAAACTTAGGTCTGAAGCTGGAGACCATTTGCTCATTAGAGGGATTTAAAAAACTATTTAAGGTACTGTTCCTGAAGTTATTTACCAAGTATAGTTTCATCCCACAAAGAGGGCAAGACAGCTTCTCAGAGATCATAAATTTAATAAATATTCTCAAGCATAAGTGAAACTCACTTGACTTTGCAGTATGTCAGTAAATGAGAAGCTTAGTGTGGTTATAAAATTATATACACTGTACAAGCCCATAATAGCTCAGGTTTTCAGTTTATACTTCTAGATCATACCATTTCTATTCTTTCGCACTTTGAAAAACTTTTCATCCAACACCTTAATGTATTTCTCACAGTCAAGAATCACATCGTAATAACAAAATTACTTTCATGTGACTACTACTTCTGTCAGTTAATCATCCCCAGAATAAAAATATCTATGGAGCTATCTTGCATCTGATAATGAAGCCAGTTCCCTTGTTCCTCAAACCAGCAGCCTGTAGCTGAATGAAAACCCCAGGACAGAAATATCTAAGTCAGGAGGGCTTGGTCAAGACCCTCGTTTCATTTCTTCACTTCAATTTCCACTACAAAAAGCCCCTTCTGCACCTTTTACCAGCTCTGCACACTCATAACACTGAAAAGGCCCAAGAGATGCTTTCTTAACACACCTTAACAGTTTAGCAGTTCAAGAACATGGAAGTTACTCAGAAACATTTCACCAAGCTGCTTAAGTTCTTCTAACGACTGGCCATAAGCCACTTCTTTGAGATTCCTACATGATCTGCATGGCTCAATGCCTATGTTCCAATTTGTTCCTTATGGGAAGACACAATTCTCTGTAAATGATGTACTGAAATAGATGTCTTGGCCAAAAGGGCCATATAAACTTGGGCTTTTTTTTTCTCCTTAGTTATCCAAATTCTGTCTTCACCATGATCTATCTACACACAAATGACTCCCTCAACTTCCAGCCCTCAGCCCCAACAAAAAGGGATTAATTTGCAAAGTAAATTAATGACAAGAAAAGTTACTTTTACTAAAAACAGCTAGAGAAAGAATATACTGAGAAGGAACGTGACGATGAGCTGCCATGGGAAAAATCACAAGACTGCAGGCAAGAAAGCACAGCTTACAGGAGTAAATAAAAAAATGTAAGAGCACACCTTAATTCATTAAAAAATAGACTGGCCACATAATCCAGCAGCAAGATAAAATTAAGGAGTACCCTGAAATCATAATGTAAATTCTAAAGTTAATTACATGGACAATTGAAATGTCACAGACAGTAGAGGAATCAATTAGAAAATGACTTATTAGTTGCAATGAGGTGGTAAATAAATAAGTAAAGCAAATTTAACATGTACTTAAAACCCCAACAGAATGGAGGAAACTTTGCTAAACAGAGAACATAAGCCTTCAAAGACTTCATTTCCCAACAGCTGAGAAAGTGATGTAAAATTGTATTAAGCATAAGTGAGAACAATTTAATCAGCTAAAACAAGCACAGTTGCATTTCAGCACTGAGTATTTTTAATTATTTAAAACGTAGCATTAAAATAGTGCACATTACTTGATCAGCCAGTTAACATTAACTACTGTCTCCTCACAGTTTATTTCAATGCTAACAGCACTTGAATACTTCAGTCATTTCTTTAAGCTCCAAAGCAGGGCAACATGAATATGCACAAGTATTTAATTTCAAATATTATCCATGAGTAATTGCACACTCCTTCTATTGGAAGGGAACACGACAAACATACCTTCTGGAGTCAAGAGACCGAGATGACAATTGTCCTGGCCTTATTCTTTGCCCATCCTCATCCAAGTCCAAGGAAATGCGACTGGCTATCCTCACACCCCTCTGAGCTGGGGACTGCCTTTTAACCGTCATTTCTGAAATCACGTCGCTGAAATTAAGAACATGAACGCAAAAACTCAACAAACTGACACAGCAAGGAAGTTGGTCATATCTATTAGCCAGAAACTCTACTCCCAGCTGGTGTCATAAGCCTCTATGAGACAGAATTTTATACTCCTCACAAAATACACCCACCTTTAAATCATCAAACATTCAAGTCTGACTTTTTAAACCATTTAGTTGCTACATTCTACATATGAAAAGTGCTACTTTTGCCTATTAAATCTACAAAGTATATTCTCTTTGAAATTATTTAGTTTCCAACTGACAAAAAATAAAATTTCATGTATCTGCATACCAACATTCACAGAGTGTAGTAGGTATGCTTTGCTTAAGTACATGAGGAATTTCTCTGATACAAGAAACACACTGAAAGAGTGAGGTAAAAATCACCCGTGTTTTGGAGAGGAGCCAACACTGCCCAGGGACAGTGCTGTGCTGCTGCAGGCCAAAAGGAAGCTTGCCTTCACACATCAGCTGACACGGGCCAATCATGCCACCCTAATAAGTAGGTCACCTTTCCTGATCCACTGCAATCTGTTGCATTGCATAATCATATTACAGCATTAACAGACCACATCTTCCTTCGTAATTCTGTAGTCAAAATCATACGTGAAGAGTAAATGCTCTGATCTCTCCCAGCACCATATGCAGCTCATTCTGGATGCAAAGGGCAGAACACACCACCTTTCTGCCCCCATCAGTGAGTTCCCTTCACTGGCAAGTGTGTTGGGTGGTAAAGACCAAGCTGGCAATTCCTCCTCACAGCTATCCTCTCCACCCAACTGCTTCAGTCACATGCAGTCATCCAAAATTGCAGAGCTCAAGGTTTAAGACATAAATACGGTCTCAAAAAAATAAAAATAGCCCCAAAAAAATTTCTGTGTATCCACTTTAAGAAAATCTGAATGAAATTCAAACTATGCTTCTGGCAGTTTAAGTCAAAAGAGACTTTGCTGACAAGAAAGAATTACTTCTGGAAAATTGTAAAAGCTAATTGCCACAGCAACACAGCAGGATTTCTCTTTAGTCTTAGATGTGGTTTCAAATGACAGAACAAGAATAGCATAGCTCTTCAAGTACCTACACTGAAAGAAAGGCATCTGAAAAGAAGTTTTAAATAATTTAATTTTAATCTTAAAAAACCCACCAATCTCAGATTAGTTGCCTATCTCACATTAGAAATTACTCTGTGAAGTGCCTACTGGCATTAGTGAGCTGGTGCTGGGCCAGAGGCTTGACACACTTATGAGAGTCAAAGGGACATAATTCCTAAGGTCAGCCACACACAACCCAGCCCAACGGCTGACTCGGCTGTGACCTAACAGGCTGCAGTGTTCTTGTGTTTCAGGGGAGTTAGGACTGCTCAGAGAAGCTCTCCTCCTTGATTTATTTGTGGTTTTCACTGTAGGTCTGGACAGACTACACTACCAAGCTATCAGTACATGCAGTCAATGGTACCATATTACTCACTGGGAAATCCTAAAGTCACTCCATCATTGGTATATGAACATTTCTGGCAGCAACATTCATCACTCTATCATTAAGTCTACCTCTATCAACAAAAACTAAAACTATAAAGACGTTTTCTAATGCCTTTTGTAACAAGAAACATCAGACTACAAAGTCATACTCCAATCCCAGTGTACCTACAATGGTTAGACACTACATTATATTACTTCATGTCCCAACACAAGGTTAAAAACCTAAGTTCCTAGATACTTCTGCCTTCCAGAGATGGGAGGAGATGGGACTTCTGTAACAACCACAGATTCCTCTCTTCTTCCTGATTACCAACCAATAATTATAATACTAGAAATGGAGACCCAAGGAGCTTTGGATATACTTTAGCCTAAGCGCTGAATTACTTTTCTTCTTCGCCCAAAACAGGAGCTGAAATTTCAGCTTGTAGGGCTGCAGATTTTATTTTTGTATGGTGCTGTTGTAATTTCCATTGAGTGAAACTTCATCCCACACTGAGAAAAATAAATTCCTGTATCGTTAATATTTTCCCCTCCTAGTGAACACACTGTCCTCATGCTGCCTACAAAACAAGGCGATGAGAGCACAGCATACAACAGTGACCTCTGGAGGTCATGCCACGAGCCTGGAAAAAATAATTGCTACAGAAGATCTGGACAACATGCCATTTACTACATATTATAAACCACAATAGCAGTATTCAGTTTGTTGCAATATAGCTCTGCTTCTTGTGAAACTCTCTCATTTTTAAATAACTGAGGAATATATATTGGCTTTCAAAATGCGGTGGTGTATTGGATGCAAAACCTTTACAGACAAACATGGGAAGTTAAATTGCCTGTATTTTCTTGTTGTCAAATAAAACTCAACACAAAATTATCACATATGAAGCAATGCTTTCCAATATATTCAAAGCATTTTAGTGCATTGTGTGGACTGAGATATTCTGAAGTCATGCAGGATCAAGTCTGAGGGCTGCTGAGCTTTGGAAAAAAAATCAACATTTTTAAACACTAGTCAGAAATCTGAAACTACCACATTTATCTCAGAGAACTCAAAGGTCACTACTAACTGTGAAAGGTTACCATTACCAAATTTTCTGTCATGAAAATCAGGAGGAGTTGCTGGTCTTTCTTGAAAACCCACTGACTGATGAGAGTTTCAAATTGTTACCCAACTATTAAGGAAGAAACCTAAAACTTTTCAGCCAAGGTGGGGAAGGGGGAAACAAGCTAGGTCACAAAGCTGCCTCAGGGAATAGAACTTGCCAACAATTTATGACAAGCCAGCATAACATTCCAAAAAGGCTGGTTCTGGTTGAGAAAAATCCATTTTTCAAACCATTTTTCTAACCATAGTGATTCACCCACAAGCATGTCACAAAATATTGTAATACCACATCTTAACCCACCCATCAACAATACAGAGGCACCATGCAGCCACAGAGACTTCAACTTATAAACTTCTGAAGAATTTAAACTCTCAAGAGAAAAAAAACCCTTTTTGCTTAGACTACAACTTCCTTAGTCGCCATCTTTCTTCCACTGTAGCCAGAGCTGGGTAAGTGCTTCAGGGAAAGTGCAAAGTGTGGTAAAACAGTGAGCCCTTGATGCAGGCCAAGGACACCTAGACAAGAGTATGTACACCTTAAGGAAGAGGGACAAGCACATATGAGGTTAGCCAGTGTATGTATTAGCTTAGTATCTCTGTGGGCCCCCAACATCTCATCAGGTACTCAGTAGGTTCTAATTAATTTCAGTCGTCCACACACAGCCAATGCCATTGTTCAGACATTTGTGTACTCTGTTCTTCAGAAAAGCCCAGTGACAGAGATGGAACAACCTCGCTGGTAATTAACAGTTTAACAAACATATGCTTTATAGAAATAGTCCTTATATCTGAAGAACAGATATTCTGCTTAACAAAGTTATTATATACCCCAGTGTCTTTGCAATCATCTGACTGAACCTGTTTACAAGCATCTGCCACTAATGCAGCAGACATCAACTGCAGACATCATTGGCTTGTTGGCTGCTCTGTTTGCAGTGCATTGATAACCATACCAAGCAGATCCTTTACTGATCCCTAGAGCAAGCTACAAACAATAACACATGGGTCAAACTCATTTGGGACAAATACATTTTCACATAATAAATTAAGATTAATATAAGCAGCTTGCAGTTCACACTGCAAACAGCCACAAAGAAAGGTTTCACATGACTGTTTTGCTGAAGATCTGATTTTCTGTTTGGTTCAGCATTTCACCTGGATTGAATGCCTTATTTTCTGAGTAGTTACTTAAATACTAGCTTACAAAATAAATAGAAAAAAAAAAGAGAGAACAAAAAAAAAATCACCATCACCCAAAAGAGCAGTATGCACTACTGTTTCAGTTTCCAAACAAATGTTTCTCATCTGTTTGAAAGCCACACTGGAAACAGAGTTAAGCCAAGAGATGAGTTTCGTGGGCTGACTGGAAAGTTTTGAAAGGAAGGGTGGGGCTATAAACAGAGCTGCTCTAGTTCAGTTCTGCAGAGTTGTCATGAAAATTCACCAGTCCAGACACAGCGTCTGAAACATCTACAAATCCATCCATTGTGTGAGAATTTTGGAAGCTTGTGACAAAAAAAAAAAAACCCCAACCAAACCAACAAAAAAAGCTGTTATTTTGCTAGTCTGTCCAAGAAAGCAATGATCCCGGGCAGGAAAACAATTCCATTTCTGCAAAACCATTTTAGAAAGAGGATGGCAAAATTTTGAGTGTGGTATAACCAGACCAGCAATGTTCCTAATATTCATTAATCCCAAGGATAAACTGTCCAAATGTATCTTTTAGGGCCATCTTTCCAACACAGAACACAGTCACCTTCAGGATGACACTGCAAAATCAGAATTTGCACGTTCATTGAGAATAACAGTCAATAAACAGACCGTATGTTAACAGTTCCCCCCTTCTTCTGCTTATCTGTGGTTTCTTCATGTCTTCGTAGTTGTGCAAGCAGCTCTGATTCTGTTTGCTTCTTGTTGAGGGGAAGGGAAGATGCGACTGCAGAAGCAGCCTTCACCAGTTCTGGATTTAAAGGCTTTCCTCTGTAAGAGACACAACAGACATGAAAACACACAAAAAATTAAAAGCCTTAATATATTTAAATTGCCACTTCTGTACCATCATTTTATATCTTAATAACTCAGAAGTTAGTGAGATATTTTCCCAAATGGGGGTGGCCACAGGGACAGCAGGTTTACCCTACATTGCACTAATCATGCTAAATGACTCTGACAAGCTTTTGTTCTCAAACCTGGGAAATGGCAGCCCTGTGCCACCGCACAGCCCCTTGGACACACAGCTCGATGACCACTGGCAGCATGGAGCTCAGGGGTTACAGACTCGATGTAACACACTGTGGAGAGGAGCCAGTCCAAAGATTCAATAATCACAATGCCATTCTTGAATTATTTTTTAATTTTTCCTCAGTTTCATTGTATTTTATCTGAACAGTATTTCCCCATTCCCTTTAAAACAGCCTTCCAAAGGCAGATGCTGATGCCACCTTTCCACAATCTCAGTGCAGGGAAAGGTAACATATGGTAGAAAGTCTACAGCACTTTTTGTCTAGATTCCCCCCTGTGATTTACTCCAATCTACACCTGTATACTACACTCCCCAAAAAGATTCTCTTCCGTACTTGGAAATGGTGTTTGATGGTTTATTTTGCCATAGATAATAAAAAATTAAAAAATCGAGAAAACAGGCTAAGACGTTTGTTACACGTTACCGTTTGATGTCTTCTGTAGTTCTCTGAGGTGCAGGACCTGCACTGTCTGGGCCTTGCAACTTGTCCGTGGCTTGTTCTTGTCTCCTACTGGCTTTTAATTCTTGGAGTTTCTTCCTGTAGCTCACTTCCACTTTCATATCACCAATAATGTCTAACAGCTTCTGCTTTGGTGTCTCTGCTGTACCCTTCTGACTCTTTGATGCCCCTTCAGTGGTGCTGCCTTTGGAAGCAGTGGGTTTATCTTTCTCAGCAGAGAGCACATTGCTTGTGCTGAAGAATTTCTGTATTTCGCTAGATGACAGACAAAGTGAAAAATCAGAAATTACAAACAGGGTCCAAAGCTGAATTTTGTAAGCCTTTGTAAATTCAATATCAGCTACAATTGTCTAGGCCCAACTGAGTGCAATTTGAGTATATTAAGCACATGTCAAACGTGTACCTCCTGCCTTTTGAGAAGGGTTGGGGCACCGTTTACAACTCTCGATTACTTACGGTTTCCTCATCACAAAAATCAAGTGAGCAACTTTATACACCATTTATTTGTGGAGGAAATAATCTACGAACTTAAAACTTTTATAGCATTTCTGTATTAGGTAGGAGACAGAGCTTGAATCTATTGATACCTAATGCTTGAATTCATTGATACTATAGAAAACTTAACAAAACTCTTCAAATGAGCCAAGAATGAGATCACACACATTTAGCTTCACATAGTTTCACACTGGTGGCACTTACACACATCACATTCCCCTACCCTGTGCCCTGAAATAGAGCAGCCAAGTGGGGAAATGGACCCTGCTGCAAGGTAACCCAGTAATAAGAAAGTTATTTGGGTTATTTTCCCCTCTGAAACAGCTCTTCTACTTAGTTTAACACAACACTGCAAAGAAGCTAAAACTGACACAGTGCAGGTGACAATGCAAGGGCAGAGATAGCAGAGAGGTGCTCAGAAGATTGCTGCAACAGACACAACAGCGTTCTCGAGAAAAACCATCACACAGTTCAAAGAACTGTTCTCTTTAACAATCTAAAATGAAATGGTTTAAATCTTTACATTTACTACTTATTTTGTTTAAAATCATCTCAAGTTCCTAAAACAAAGGAAAAAATAAGTATTTATCTTGATTCAAAACGAAACACTTCAATAATCTTAAAACACTCCAGTAAATCTGAAGGAATTGTGACACACCTCCCCACCTCACACACCCCTCCCATTGGCTAAAAAGGAAAAATATGCCAGTATCATAGAACTTTAGGGGTTGGAATGG